GACTGTGTGGGGTATAATAATACGCTTCAGTTGACTTGATGGCAGAATAAACAGTCAATGTGGATGCAAAACACGGTATGGTTTATTGCTGGATAAACTGGCATAGAAACATGTAACACATGAATAAGGAGCCCCGAAACTCCGAAACTAGCCCTTTATATAGGTGCGAATCGAACGTGAGAGAAAACACGTAAGCGGGAAATACAAAATGAAGTACGCGGGAGAAAAAGATACAATACAGAGTAAAATGATTGGCTGAAATTAAATGATTCTAATTGGTCGAGAATTACTCAGAGGAATCCTTCATGCGAAAGGTAAACGAATTAACTATAGCGAAATGACATGTAATAATAATATTAGCAATATGAAAACGAATACAAATATATATTATGAATCTCCGACATTCTCCCGACTTTGAGAAAAAGTACACATTCAGGAATAATATATATATATGAGAATAAACGAATAACGATTGATAAAAGAGTTCACTAATAACTATTAGTTCATTTTTTCAAGTTCAGGGGAACACAAATTGAACTTGTAAACTTCTGATCTAGTGCGATTTTCACTAAAGTTCAGAATAAATCTTTGAGTCTGACGTTGGCGGCAGCTGCGGCGTCACGATGTGATCTGCGTTGTGGCAATGGTATATCATCTGTACTTCCACTGGTAGGGATGTTGATTTCATCATGCATGTTAGTGATACCATCTGTGGCAGTGGGTTGCGTTGTGTCATCGCTGGATGATGTCAATAATGCGTTGAACGCCGGAGTTGTCACTTTCATCAGTCGCTTCACGAGCGGTTTGTGCGTTGATGACTGGCGAAGTAGTATCCGGGTTGACGAGGTCGTCATCTTCCTTCATGATGTTGACATGTAGTTGAGTAGCATTGTTCACATCCCATGTAGACCACATTTGTTGATCTGGTAACCATGACGGCCCATAATTCCATTTGGGGTTTGAACGGAGGTCATTAGCTGATATACCTCTCGTTAGTAAGTCCGCGGGGTTGTCCACGGTTGGACAGTATTTATATTCTTGTGTGAAGTCGCGTATTTCTTGCACTCTATTTTGAACAAATACTGGCAACTTCTTACTGCTATTAATCCAATGCAAGGTCGCTTGACTGTCGGACCACAGGAAATGTTCAGTTATATTGAATTTGTCCGATAGAGCATTCAGTACGAGTTTACCGAGTCTCGTAGCGATCAGTGCAGCCATTAATTCCAATTTCGGCAGAGATAATTCCGATTTAGGGGCGACTCGTGTCTTTGACATGACAAGAGCCGTTTCGTGCTGACGACGAAGAAACACAACAGCACCATACGCGGAAGTGCTCGCGTCTGCGAAAGTGTGCATTTGATAGGTATCACCTGGAGAAGTCTTGTCAAAATATTTCCGGTTGATTTGATTATCACGAGCAGCGGTTAAATCCTCAGCAATTAAGATCCATTGTTCGTAAAGTTCAGGACTTAGTGGTTCATCCCACTCCAATTTCAACTTCCACAAAAGTTGAATAAATAGTTTGGCGCGTACCAATACCGGTGAAATTAATCCAAGCGGGTCGTATACACTCGCTGTGAAACTTACAATGTCACGTTTTGTAATAAACGACGCGACTTGAGGTTGACTGTTAACACGAGAATGTGTCAACACGTCGGGTGTAATTTTCCAACGCATACCAAGCACAGAAACTTCGTCGGCGGGCTCATATTTGTTATCTCGGGTAGCAAGTTCACACAAATCAGGAGAATTCGATGACCAAGCACGTAAATTAAATCCACAAGAATTCATGAGGCTCGTAGATTCACTGTAGCATTTAACAGCATCTGCTTCCGAATAGACTCCATCAATGACATTATCGACATAGATGTTGTCTTTCATTTGATTGGCAGTATTAATATCACAGTTATTATCCAAATGAGTTTTGATCACAGCATTCAGGATAAAAGGTGAGCACACAGCACCAACTTGAAACAGCACAGATTTAAATTGATACACTTTGAGTGGACTGTCGATATTGTTCACGTCTGTCAGCCACAGAAATTTGGTAAATTTCCGTTCATCGGGATGCAGTCTCACGTTGAAGGAATGCTTTCTCAATATCACTACAGACCGCAATATTGTTAGCACGGGACCTCATTAAGATGGCTGGGCAAATCATTAATCATA